ATATGACAGCAGGAAACCAGCTTAATGACACAAGCAGGGGAAAAAACTCAGTTGAACTTAATGGAAATCAGAGGCTTTCAAAGTTGTACATTTTATAATTAAAACAACTGGCTAATTAAGCAGTTTAACCATTGGTAATTTGACCAAAACTGTTCATTTAACAGAGAAGATGGTTAATTTAACAGTAGTTTGAACTAACTTCTTAATTAACCAGCTGCTCTAATTATAGGAATTGCCCCAAACTAAATTTGAAAATGTCTCCTTGCCAAGGAATTCCAGTAGATGAGAAGCTGAGGCAAGCATTTGTGGTATTTTCACCTAAGATGTGTCATCATCTCAAAGATCACTTTTGGTTCTGTTATTTAAAACCAGTGGTGGGTGATCACCTGGGTTGTTGTTGTTTTTTAATTTACACCAAATATTTTACTATACAATGGAGGCATGGGAGAGCTGTAACCATCAAGTAGACTCTTGATGACGTTTGTATGTTTAGGGACGCACAGAGACGATGACATTTAAGCTGACCTTGGAGGTGATGAAGGATATCACCAGAGAGGTGCAGTCCCGGCACGGGGGACTGCCTGGCACAGCGCAGAGGCAGGAGAACTTCATGTTTTATACAGAATGCCAAGTGAAGCTCTGTGGCTGAGAAGCAAAGTTTTAAAGGCCTGGAGGATGGAGAGTGAGGACATGAAGTGGTTGGAACTAAATTACAAATTAAGGTTCTTAAAGGCTTGCCTAAGGAGTACGAACTTCAGACAGTGGAAAATCATCAAACATTTTGAAATACAGCAAAGACTTTTTAAAAAATAGTGTGTGTGCAATGGATAAATGGTTGAATTAATGAAAGAAAATAACATGATTCGGTTTGTGTTTTAGAAGGATTCATTTGTCAGCTTTAGAGGATGGAATAAAGATGGGGGTGTGGATACAGGAAGGTTAACAACAACTCAGCCAAGGCTACTACTTGAATCTTTGCTTGAACTTCCGTTCACACTAGCCTTCCCCCAACAACAACCAAAGTGATCTTTTAAAAACACATTAGGCATATAATTTCTCTCATGTTCAGCATGAAATCCAAACCCTTAACAAGGCCCTAATCTCTGGTGAATGCAGTCCCTCTTGCTTTGCTTCAGCCACATGGACAGCCTTTTTAATTCCTTGAATATGCCAATCAGTGTCACCTACTGAGGGCTTTGCACGTGCTATTCCCTCTGCCTGGAACATTCACTCTATCTTTTACCTAATAAACTCCGTATCTATTTTTTTTTTAAACAGAGCTATCTTTATTAGTTAATAATATCATTAAGTGAAGTGAAGTAACGTTAACTCAGTCATGTCCGACTCTTTGCGACCCCATGGACTGTAGCCTACCAGGCTTCTCCGTCCATGGGATTTTCCAGGCAAGAATACTGGAGTGGGTTGCCATTTCCTTCTTCATCCATACCTATCTTTTGGGTCTCAATTTATTATTTTATTTTTTTGAGTAGATAATGCATGTACACGAAAAAAATTTTTTAAAGAATCAAGAGTATAAAGTCAGCCGTAAATCTCTCTCTCCTGCCTTCTAGCCACTTCTCCCTGGGGATAGCCACTATTATTATTTTCCTCTGACATCTAGTTTCAGTTCACAGGTCATTCTATTTTAGAGAGGCCTTTTCTGATATTTCAGTCTAAAATAGATCCACCGATTGAATTGCTATAGCTCTTTTTATCATTTCACAATTTGTAATTTCATATTTTTTTGTGACTATTCCCTCCTCCTACTAGACTATAAACTCCATAAGCAGGGTTTTGTTGGTCATGTCCCCTGTTATATCTCCACCTCTTTGCACAGTGTCTGGTACATCATAGGTACTGAAAAATTAAGCTGTTCCTAAGTTTTGCCTGTTTCTGTAACCTCGTCTCTTGCCGCCTTTCTCCTCATACTCTGCCTTGAAATTCTCTCTCTGGCTCTTCCTCTCCTCATACTGTGTTCTTGCCTCACTAACTTCAAGCCACCTGTCAGGTTTTACTTAAAAGTCTCCTGCTCTAAGAATCGTTTCCTGACACCACAAGTCCAGTCTTAATGCCTACCCCATGTATATGGCTCTTATCATAGAGAGCCCTTTTCACCCAGCGTTGGTATTAGTCTCGCCAACAGACCATAGATTCTGTATTGCAGGGGCTTTGTGTTTGTCCATTGTTAGAGCCCCAGCATCTAGGGCAATACCAACCAGGCCTTCCATGGATATTGGGCGGTTTGTACACTGCATAACTCTTGATATGTGCAAGTCACATGGTTGAGAGGGTATAATTGTTGCTGGCTACTCTGTTGGGTAGTAATAAATATTTGTTGAATGAATAAACATGCTTTGGGGAGTTCATTACTTTTTAGAAGGTCATGTATTAAAGTCATAATAAAATCTTGGTGGATGGATTCATTTTCAAAGCTGTGATCTGAGCATGATTGTGTACCCATCAAGGTGTTTTGCATATTAGCTCTTTGGGTGGTACCTTCGGTTGCAGAGTCTGGAATGCAAAGGCTTAGAGGATTAGTTGGGACCATGACCAAAAGATACTCAGTTATTTGGAAATCTCTGCCAAAAATACTTCCTTCTTCCTTGCATGGTAAACTCTTACTCCTCTTTCAAGAATGCAGCTGTTACTTCTCTGGACCCTTCCCCTGTGCCCTCCTTCACCCCCTTGCCCCCACCTCATGCCCCAGACAGAGTTAGTTGTTCTTTCATCTAGGTTCCTTGCTTTTATCTCCATTAAAGTATTTTGTACACCATAAGGTAGTTATCTGCTTTCCCATTATCCTTCGTCAGTATGTACTGAGTGTCTCGAGGGAAAGTGGCATATTATAGTCATCTTTGTAACTGTCCCAGTATCTATACTGTTGTTGGCATGTAATTGTAAATGCAGACTGATGCATATCATGGAAGGGATCCATGATATCCAAGGGTTGTCTTGATGAAATATTGTGGATTGTGAATTCAAGGAAATTTCTGAAGCCATGACTCTTTTTTTTTTTAAGTATTTATTGGAGTATAGTTGATTTAGAATGTTGTGTTAGTTTCAGATGTACAGCAAATTGAATCAGTTATATATGCACATATATCCACTCCTTTTTAGATTCTTTTCCCATACTGAGTAGAGTTCCCTGTGCTATATAGTAGGTCCTTTTTAGTTATCTATATTATATATAGTAGTGTGTATATGTCAATCCCAGTCTGACAATTTATCTCTCCTCACTCCTGCCTCCTAGTAACCATAAATTTTTCTACATCTGTAAGTCTATTTCTGTTTTGTAGATAAGTTTATTTGTACTTTTGTTTTAGATTCCACATATAAGTGATATATATTTGTTTTTCTCTTTCTTTCTTTCACTCAGTATGACAATCTCTTTGGTCCACTATTGCTGCAAATGGCATTATTCCATTCTTTTTATGGCTCAGTAATCCACTGTATATATGTACCACATATTCTTTATCCATTCCTCTGTTGATGGACAATTTAGGTTCCTTCCATGGCCTAGCTATTGTAAATAGTGCTGCAATGAACATTGGGGTCCATGTTTCCTTTCAACCATGTTTTTCTCCAGATGTGTGCACAGGAGTGGGATTGCTGGATCATATGGTAGCTCTATTTTTAGTTTTTAAAGGAACCTCCATACAGTGCTCCATAGTTGAAGCCATGACTCTTGATTGGCCTGACACAGAGCAGACTACTTGGAAGCACATTTTAGAAAAGAGAAACTTAAGAAATATTTTACTAGAATGTCATTAAACTTTTCCACACGATTTTGTATTTAGCACCCCACAAAGTGGTGGCTTTGGGGAGATGAGGGTAGGACCACAGGAACTAGGAGAAAAGAGAGCAGAACCTAGGACCAGTACTTTTCCAGAAGGTGGGGAGTGAGCAAAAGAGATACACAGACATAGCACAGCTGGTTCCATTGAAGGGTAAAAATAAGGAACTGATATCAGATATGGGAATGATCAAGTCTAGCTAGATTTTGTATTCTAGAAATTCAGATGTTATAACACATCTGAGCACAGGCTGTTTAGTGAGATAGACCTGGATTTAAATTGCAGTTCTGCCTTTTACTTGCCGATGACCTTGGCCAATTCTTGTTTTTTAAAATATATTATTATTATTATATTAATTATTATTTTTAATTTTATTATTCATTTATTCTGGCTACAGCATGGCATGCAGGATCTTAGTTTCCCAACCTGGGATCAAACCTATGCCCACTGCAGTGGAAGCACAGGGTCTTAACCACTGGATCACCTTGGCATTCCCTCCAATTCCTACTTTTTGAGCTGCAGTTTCTTTGTTTGTAAATGAAGATAAAAATAATGGGGATTATAGGAGGATTTGTATGTATCAGCAAGTCCTTCTTTGAAGGGGATCTGGGTGATACATCTCTGGCTCTACCACAATGAATATGTATTAATATATAATATATAGAGTATTAATGTAGAGTATCAATATATGGCGATTCTATTTTTTATCTGTGTACTGTTCTGTACCTTATGTTTTTAGTTTTTATTGTAATTCATTTGAAGCCTGTTGGAGATCATTATATATCAACACAAATAAAGCAAATTGGATAGTTTTAGCAACTTTGTAGTCCTTCTGCTGGTTATTTTTGCCACCTCTCTCTCTGAACAATCCTCACTGGAAAACTTCAAAAGGATTATTGCCTGTTGAGGGACAAGAGAAAATGAGAGTCCTGTGAGAATGTATTTTGTCCCCCTACACCAGTGGCTCTAACAGGAGAGAGTTTCTCAAAGTGGGAACTAGATGTAGTCCAGGGGCCAAAAGGAAAGAGAAAAGGGGTATATTGAATGTCAGCTCAGGATCAAGAAATAACTCTGGTTCTTTAAACCAACGAGAGGCTTGCTGTCCCCAGATATTCCATCTTGCAATGGAGAATTTATCTCCTCATGTATGACCTGTCTGTCCTTGAGGAATTTTGAAACAGGTTTGTCTTATTTTCTGTCTTTCAGGTGGCATTCTGTTGACCACCAATCGGCACTACAGGTCAAAGCCCACGCATGGCATTGGAAGATACAAGCATCTAGTTAAGCCAGAAGAGGTAAAGGGAGCAGTGGTCTTCTGTTTATTTATTTTCAAAATTCTTTTGGCCGAGGCTAGTGGGATCTTAGTTCCTCAACCAGGAATTGGACCCATGCCCCCTGCAGTGGAAGTGCAGTCTTAACCATTGGACCGCCAGGGAAGTCCCTAGGGGTCCTTTAGAAAAGGATAGTGTGTAGCTTTTGCAAAGACCCAGAAGATCAGATGTGCATAGATTGGATTATATTGGAGCCAGAAAGGATAGGGGGTCGTCCCTCAATTCTCTCCAGTTATATAGTTTGGATATGATCCAGAGTGGAGATGTTATTGCCAGTTCCCAATCTTGTCCCTAGGTTAGATTATCACAGGGAAAAGGAAATGATTTGGTTTTATTATCTGTGACACTTAAAGGAAAAACCATCTTAGTATTTCATTCAATATGGACCTCACAATGAAAGAGATACATTTAGTTTAGTTGAATGAATGGTTTGTGGCATATAGAAGTAGATTAACATTTTCAGCCAAATTGCTGATTTTTTTTTTTTTTGCTTATGTGTTAGCAGATTTAAAAGATGCATGTGTTTCTTGAATCCACTATCACAGATAACTGAGAGTTATTTCTAGGATTACTTAGGCTATTGCTCTGGCTCCAGCTGCAGGATTGCTTCTGTGGTAGTTAGATTTTTGTGCCTTTGAAGAGGACTTTGTGGTGGGATGGACACAATGTTGGCTTGAAAGTCAGTCTGTCTTTGAGTTAGGATTCTATCACTTCCTGTAAACAGTATTGTTCAGTTGCTCAGTTGTGTCCGACTCTGTGACCCCATGAACTGCAGCATGCCAGGCTTCTCTGTCCTTCACCATCTCCTGGAGCTTGCTCAAACTCATGCCCATTGAGTTAGTGATGCCATCCAACCATCTCATCCTCTGTCATCCCCTTCTCCTTCTGCCTTCAATCTTTCCCAGCATCAGTCCTTCTGATGAATATTCAGGGTGGATTTCCTTTAGGATTGACTGGTTTGATCTTTCTGTCCAAGGGACTTTCAAGAGTCTTCTCTAGCACCATAGTTCAAATGCATTAACTCTTCCATGCTCAGCCTTCTTTATGATCCAACTCTCACATCCATACATGACTACTGGAAAAACCATAGCTTTGATTGGGTGGACCTTTGTTGGCAAAGTAATGTCTCTGCTTTTTAATACATAGTCTAGGTTTGTCATAGCTTTTTTCCCAAGGAGCAAGCATCTTTTAATTTCATGATTACAGGTGCCATCTGCAGTGATTTTGGAGCCCAAGAAAATAAAGTCTGTCACTGTTTCCATTGTTTCCCCACCTATTTGCCGTGAAGTGCTGGGACAGAATGCCATGATCTTAGTTTTCTCAATGTTGAGTTTAAAGCCAGCTTTTTCACTCTCCTCTTTTACCTTCATCAAGACGCTCTTTAATTCCTCTTCACTTTCTGCCATAAGGGTGGTGTCATCTGCATATCTGAGGTTTTTTATATCTCTCCCAGAAATCTTGATTCCAGCTTGTGCTTCATCCAGCCCAGATTTCACGTGATGTACTCTGTATATAAGTTAAATAAGCAGGATGACAATATATAGCCTTGATGTACTCTTTTCCCAATTTGGAACCAGTCCATTGTTCCATTTTAATTGTTGCTTTTTGACCTGCAGACAGTATAGTTAGGAAGATTTTGCTGTTCTTACTTGGGGAGATTTCAATGTCATTTTTGGTTCTTTGGCTTAGTTCGATGGTCCCACGAAACCCTGCACATCTCCCATTGTTTCTCACCTTAGCAGAGGTCCAGGACCACTGCATTTGGACCTCAGAATTCACTAAACTTGCCACATTCTTCTGAGCATCATCCTTATATCAAGGAATTTTGTAAGAGAAACATTGCCACACCTGAGGCTTGTATCGGGAACCCTCCCAGCAAGAAACAACCCTACTAAATTTTTTCCTTTGTAATGAGAAGAGTACTGAATTGGGAACCAGGAAACTTGTATTCTAGGCTTGGTTCTACTACTTATTAGCTTTGTGATTTGGGGCAAGTTAACCTTACCTCTCTGGGTATGACTGGCCATGAAGTTGTACGTAAAATGTTTTCTATGTATGAGTTTTTCTGGGAAGAGAATCCACAGCTTTTGTCAGATTCTTCACAAATTTTGAGAAACTCTGGATTAGAATATCTTCAAGAGTCTCTTAGCTCTGATATCATGTAACTCCATAAGGCTATCTTTTTCCAAGATCTATTACGGGCTAGGTACCATTGGGGGTATCTTGCTTATTCAGACTGAGCTGCAATAAAGTTTTCTAGTATGAAAGAGCAAGACCTGGTTCATGCTCACAGGGAGCTGATAAACCATTAGAGGTAAGACACAAATAACTATGCTCCCAAGCAGAAAGTGACAGTGCTAAAAGGAGGATACAAAGTGCTTTTAAAATTCAGAAGGAGTGATTTACACCCTTTCTGAGTTGTGACGCCTTAGAGTAAGTTCTTGGAGTTGTTTTATTTTGGGATATCCTCCTTCTAAAAGTCTTACATAAATTAGCAGGGAATAAAATTAGTTTTGTTTAGGTGTGAGTTTTTTGCTTTTTAAAATTTCTTGGGATCCTCTCTCTCATAGATAATTTTCTGTGTATACCATGCTCTGACCCATTCCTTGGCTTTTTATAAAAGGAAGCCTAATGACATGTCTAATGCCATCTGTCCCATCTTTCTCTCCAACTTCCTCTCCCATCTCATAGATCATCATACTGTTTCGAGATCTCTCACACGCTGTTCTCTTTACTTGCAAGACTTTCCTTCTAGGTTAATACACCCTGAACCTTTAAATCCCATTGAGGAAGATCGGATGAGAAGGGGGAAAACAAATCTCCCTCTCTGAGAAACCTCTAATTCCCTGCACTGGGTTACTTCTCCTGCCACGAACAAGGGGTTCCTTGTGCTTCCTCTGTTGTAGGACTTGCTGCTCTATTTTAACCCTGTTTTGATGACTGTTTCTATGCCTAAATGATGAGCATCCTTAGGGTAGAGGCCTTGTCTCATGTTTCTTCTGTATCCTCAGTGTCCAGCCCAGGGCCTGGCATCAAGTAGAGGACAACACACATTGATTGAGCTGAACCTAAATGTGGTTATTGGAGCTGCCCCGAGGTTTTGTAAATCAGAACTGGCAAACACGACCCACTGTCTGTAAACAGCTGTCTCCAACTAACCTTGCTTGCTTGAAGGGAGTGATGCTCCCTTTTGTTAGGGCTGTAGGCTTTTCTCGGGATACTATTCATGTTCCAGGGTGGCTAGCACAATAGTGCTGGGTAGTCGTGGAGGCTGCTCGATACTCCTTCCTTTGCGTTCGGGACAGCCCTATGAAGACTTTCATCTGCTAGCTCTCAGAGGCCCTGTCCCAAGTCCCTGTCTCTTGTTCCCCTGGTAAATTGGACTGGAAAAGCCAGAAGGCATCTTTGGCCTCCTTTCTTTCCCTAAAGTAACAGCCTATAAAATATCATAAACAGCCAGATTTCCACTTTTTCTTCTTTGACTCAGGCTGACTCCTCTACTCTCTTGAGCCCTACAGCCCTGGGACAAGAGTTAATTCTCATGTACAAAGTGGCTAGCGCTTGTCCCTTTTCTGCTGGTATAATCTCTTCATTCCTCCTTCCAGAGGTCCCACACTCAGTCTTATGACTCCTGAACCTTGGGAAGGAAAAGGCACATCTACTTCACTCAGCTTTTCTTTTCAATACTGGTTTTATCTCTCTCTTGCATGGCCTGGTTTATAACTCCAGGTTTGTTCCCATCCCTCCATCCTGTGCCCTGTCCTTGCTGCCTCTCTGAGGAGTCAGTGACAGAAGAGATGAAAGCGAAAGATCCCCCCAGGTGGCAACATGAGGATGAGAGCAAATCATGGGATTCCAGGTCTGTCAGCACAGACCCAGCCTCCTTCTCAGTGATTTCCCACTTTTTACCCTGTGCTTCAGGTGCATTTTCTCATACGTCCATGCTGTCTCATGCCTCTGTGTCCTTGTACATGCATATCTTCCTTTTTTTCCCTCTCATCATGTGAGACCCACCTTGACTTACGGCAGTGAGGGACTATACTTCAAAGCATATCTCCAGACGTAGCACTGTGTCTCAGTGTGTAGATCTCATTATTCCTTCAAGGGCCCTGCATCATTATTCTGTTAAAATTTAAAAGGCTTCAGATTGTTTAGAGTGGTTTTTATTTGATAAAAATAAAAAGAATGTAGTCCACATTTGTATAGTGCTAGGTCTTATCTCCCAAGACCACTTACTTACTTGCCCTCAGCTGTTGTTCAGCCTCCAATCCTAGGGTAATAGCAGCCGAAGAATAAAAGCAATGCCAAGAGGAAGATGTGGGAGGATGAAATAGAAGCAGTATAAATGGCTGTCAGTTTTAGCTTTTATACGTTCTATTTTTCAGGCTCTGGGGCAAGAGAGTAAGATTTTTGAACTCAGACAATTTACTTCCTCTTTGTAGAATGGCCCCTAGGAAATCAAGATGTCTTTTCTCTTGGAAACTTCATGCTGTTTGACTGTTGACATAGCGGAGGTGTTTGTCATTTCTGACACCTACTTATTTTGTTGTAGCACTCATAGATTGATCAGTGCTCACAGCCACAAGTCTGTGAGGAGACTATGGCATCATTCCCAGAAAAATCAGCAGATCAAAACCACTTTATGGTGACAGTCCTAGCTTCCTTGAAACAGGAAGATTGGTTTTGCTGGCCTAGTGACTGTAGGGCTAGACATGGATTTTAGGACTGGCTTACAGAGAGCTGTTTTAAACTGGCATCCATGTTTTCCCTCAAGTCTGCCTCTTGTAACTCACTGAAAAGAACAACCGGCATTGAGCATCTGCTATGTGCCAGGCACAGTGCTTTGCACAGATGATGCTGTGGTGAATGGGGCACAGTCTCTTCTTAACAAATACTATAAAGTGGGCTGGAAAGGATAGTGCTAAAAAATGTAACTAAAATACATGTGGGAAATGCTTTACTAG